TCTCTAACATATAGCTGATTTAAAGGAAAGGTCTTACTGCCTGCTGGGAAAATCCTTATTATCTGCCAGAGTTTCATAATAATAAGAGGATCAAAAGTTCTGCATCACTGCTTGAGAGCTTCTGTGGAGTTTGAAATAGTTTTCCCATCAGTGATGTGTGTTGGGGAGATTTTGCTGCTGATGACCTGGTTTGGACAGCTGTCCAACATATGGACCTCTCAATGAATGTAAGGTGCCCTAACCAAGCCAAGACCACCAACCACCCTAAATCATACAAAAAACAATTGATCCAAGGTGTTTGTGCTGAGAAGCTGTGTTTGGTTTCATCACCTTAGCATTAGTGCATCAGGGTTCCCCTTAGGTGGTGGGTTCAGTAGACATGGCTTAGCATCACTCCTTCAATCACCAGGCACTTACCAACAAACCCCAACCGTAGGCCTGGCTCCAGGGGGAAGTCCCAGATCCACCATGCTACGTGATGTCACATGTCTTGATTTTATGGTCATCCTAAGGGCTCCTAAAATTGCTCTTTGTCTAACCAGTCACCCAGAACCTGTCTGCCTCGAGAGACTCTATCTCTCGAGGCAGAAGTGGCTCTACACCCCCAACAATATATCCTCCAGGATCACTGAAATCCATCCACCAGTGAGGAGAATGAAGGCTGCTAGTCTTTGGTGAGATTGTTGCCCCCTGGACCTGATCCCAGATAAAGTGGAAGACAACAAGTATGTTTGCCAATACCATTATGGTTAAACATCTCTGTTTTGGTCTCACAGTTTTTGACAGAAGAAACATTCTCCTATAGTTCTTCCAGGCTGTTTCAGGTTCATGACATTTAAAGGAAAAGTCTGGTCATTTTCAAAATTCAAACTTCTGAAAGTACTTTAAATATGAAACTGTTATTAATTTTTTAATAAGTGTTTTTAATTAAAAGTAGTTTAATTTGAATGTGCTTTACCAGAGATATCCATGTTTGTCAAAGAGCACTACTGCCACCTACCGGTTTGTGACATCACGGTGCTGTATCGGCTGTTGAGCAATTCCCAAAGCTGTATCTAGCATTTGTCACTATGCTCTATTATCCAAGTCATCTTGAAAACATTCTTCTTCGAAATGTTGGCTATGTATCATGTGTTTTTTCTCTGGCCAGAAGTTCGATGGCAAATCCTCCCTTTTCAAGTTGGCAATCCAACGACGAATCAGTCCATGGGCTATCATGAATCGGGAAGGTGAAATAACTAATTGTTTTTTACTTTTAAACAATGTATTACAACATCCAACTGCCATGTAAGTGGGCATTGTCAGTTTAACTATAGCTTTCGTGAATTTTAATGGTGAAGTCCTCTTGAAATCTTCAATAATTGTTGTTGATTGCAGATGTGTCTAATAGCTCCCATTGATTTTGCTTGTAAAGTGTGGAGAATGCCGCTTGGCTTACCGCACAGTGCCGGGAATTGTCAGGAGTGAGGTGTTACTATATATGGGCAAAAATAGTCGATCCTGGACACAGTGATGGCAACAAAAATATTATTTTTATTATTATTTTGAACCCTAAATTAATTAAATCACCACAAATGTATTAGTTTTAAGTATGAATAATGATCCATTTATTATTCCTTGCTGACCAGACTTTTCCTTTAACCCTTGACCTGCCGTCTTAGGCCTGAAGACATGATACTGGCTGTCACTGCTTTTCCACTGAGGCTTCTCTTGCCTTCATCCTGTTGTATTAAAAAGCATAGGCCTACATTTGAGATGAAGATTATAAAATATTTTGGCCTTCTCCATCAACTCCTGCATGTGTTTATGAATAGGTGGTTAGAAAATTATTTTTGCTGCTGGATCGGCAAATAATTTATCCTGCCACTATATGCTGAGGTGAGTGAGTCTTCATCACTGCAGAAACACCCCACCACTAGAGCTTTACTATCTAATAATAATCAAGATTAAAGTTGCATTTCTTTAGCAGCAGATCACACATCCAGGAGCTCATCAGAGCTGCAGCACTTATGCAGTAAAGTTTTTCATACGTCCCAAGAATCTGTGATGGCCCCGTTTCCTGCTTATCAAATGCTCCACTCCTTTACCTCTCACTCAAATACTGTAGTGTGACAGGTTTTTACTCAGGATTTAAAATGTTGCATGTAGACATTAAATATCATCCACTCTGGCTTTTTTAAGCCTCATTTGAGTTTCACATCTTATTCAATCATTTTAATTCTTTTTTTTTTTTCCTGAACAGCGCTTTGGTGGTTAGTACTACTGCCCCAGAGCAAGACCCCCTGGGTTCAGGTCTTGGCCAAGGACCTTCTGTGCAGAGTTTGCTTATCATTCCTGTTGGATTAACTAACCACATTACATGCTTACCCTTCTGAATCCTATGGTCTTGGTCCAGTATTGGGTTTACTGTATCTTTTACAGTCCTACTCCTTCAGGAACAACAGAAATGTGACAAAATGACTTGTTTTAATTCTCTGTGTCTCTGAAGTATTCCTGGTTCAATTTAAACGTCTCCATGGGGCAGACCACCAGCATCCTCATCTGGACAAACCACTGACTGATAAAGATTCCCAAAGAACAAAGGCCACTCAGTCCAAGAAACCCAATTGGTTTTCATGCTCCAGTAATCATCTATACAAATTCACACAGTGAAGCAGAAATGTGTAAAATGATCTTTGGATGAGCCTGGAACCCATGGCGACCACAGGGACTACTGCTTTGCTCTGTTGGTATGATGGGACCATCAAATCCCCCTGACAAATCAGGACACAATGACACTGAGCACCATCGTGCGAGGAGGCCCACCAGTCACATTTAACGCCTCTGGTGATGGGCTCAGTTTATTCATGCATTAGTTAGAGAAGCAAATCGATAGGAATTAACAGCTGCCGTGACTTCAGTTGGTCTGATGGTGGGAGGTGGATGGGAAGAGAAAGGTAAAAGGCAAACAGGAGAAAGGTCAAAGCAAATAGAGGCAGGAGAGACAAGGAAGAGGGAGAGGAGGGGGTTAAGGTGAAAGATGGAGGACACTCTGCTGTTCACCATACCCTTATCTGCTGCTGCGCTATCAGCTGTTTGGTCTAGTGGTGGATAGATTCAACTTGTCAGCTTCTTTTTTATCAGTTCATCACAGGAGGTTCCGAGAAACTACTGACCATGACAGCTGAGACACTCTGACCAACGAGATCACAGCTGACCTGATCCCAGGTTCTGCTGACTCCCAGCTGGAGGCCTTTCCCACCATGCACACAATTAATGGCTTCATCAGAGCATTTCAGCACTATTTTCCATGATATTACCCTTGAGTGTATAGTCTTTGACCTTAGAGACTCATCTTCAAACTATCATCAAAGCGAGAGATTATTCCCAAAAGGAAAATATGTAAGGCAGCTGCAGATCATACCTCGAGTGGAAGTCCTTCAGCCCAATGTCAGAGCATGAAGATGCAATGACTCAGAGAAATGGCCAAAAACCAAACAGTTAATTGTTGCTGAGACCCTAAAGGCCTCAGCAAGCAATAAACATGTTCTCTCTGAAAACCAGATGGAAGCAGGATTTAGGTTAGAAAAGCTGCATCTGGATGAAAGACAAAACTTCTAGAACACTGTTCTCTGGACATAAGGGGGGGATGTTTGTCCAGAATGCTCAGCATCATCTTCAGAGACTACTGGACTTAAAATTGAAGAAGAAAGACTTCCTAAACACTGTTAAGGAGAAAGATGGAGGGTTTATTTAGACCTTGTGCAGTCATTGAATGAATAGAGGCAGAAAAGCTGAATGATGAAAAATGGTCCCTATGTCTAAGCCTATAGCAGGATATCTATAGAGATATATTAGGATAACCTGAGCCACTCTAACTATAAGTTTTATCAAAAAGGAAAGTATTAATCCTAGCCTTCAAAGTATACTGAGCTTCTGCCACATGGACTAAAACTGGTAGTTGGTTCCGCAAGAGAGTAGCCTAATGACTTTCCAAAAAAGTTAAAAGTCTCTAGAGACATAGACCAGTATCAAGTATCGCAGCGCAACGACTACCAATTCCTAAGGGGTGGACCAATGGCGTAAAGATTAGTAAGCAGAGACAGCAGTAGCTCTTAGGGACCCCATCACCGACACCTGGTAGGCCCTCTGTGCAACTGTAGACTAGGATGTATCTTTGAAGATGTATTGGTGTGAAAAATTCTTCTTAAACCCATCTGATCCTGAAGTAACTGACAGCACCAGACCATATTTATGCCGCAACACATGCCAGATTTCAACATGATGGTGAGCCGTTTCAACACAACACTAATAGCAAAGCAGACAGTGGTACTTTTAATTACAGTTTCTAACTGTGTATAGTTCATTAGGGGGGTTGGTAAAAAATACACTCATATAATATGTTTCAAACCGCAATAAAGCTCTTAAAAGAACTATGTATTTGAGTATTTTATTTTTTATTTTTTACCCTACGACTTGGAATTATAGGCAACCCAGAGCGTAGATTAAAAACCATAACCGTTACGTACAATGTATTAGCAACGATGGATACCAAGCATCTCCCTGAAATTAGTTTTTGGAACTTGATATGTCTGTAAAATGTGGTGGTGCGTAGTCACAATTTTTCCAGGTGTGATGTGTGATCATATACTACTGAGAATTGCATAATTGTGTCTTCTTGGCCGATTTATGGAACTGTCGCTGTATCCTGAACCTTTATCACTTCTTGTACTTCATATGGGGCCCACCCAGATAATGTTACTTACAGGCCTATTGCTGTTTCGTTATGCCATTGGGATGGACCTGTCTGTAGCACTGTCTGCGGTCAGTAACAATTTGGGAGAGGTGCAGCAGAGTGTCTGCAGAGGGGCCGGGACGTCTTTTTGTTCACTGCGACACCTACGCAGATGACCTAGTTTCGAAGTATAAATCAGCCTTTAAACACATGGTTTTTGTGTCCTCTGTTTTTGTAGCCATGATCCAGGTCTATGTCACTGACTGTAGTCGTATTGTCCTCACAGATCCGGTCTCCATGAACTTGGACCAGTACAATGTGATTTCTTTGACTGATGCCCTCAGAGGTTTCCTTCAGGACCTGCCCACTCCCATCATCCCTCCTACAGTCTACACTGATCTCATCAATGCCTCACAAGGTAGGAAGCATTCCTCCACATAAAACTGCAGCCCTGTTGGTGGTCAGGAAAGGTCTACACTCACATTAGCAAACCAGATTTAAACTTTTCTCACAGCAGAAGGGTGCCTTGTTGCCAAAACAGTAAACGTTGCTTTGATTCTCTTTTTGTTGGTGATGCAGTGTGGCCTGAACCACACCAGCTGGTGAAAAAATAAATAAAGCAGAGCGACAACCTGCTAGCCTGCTCTATTTTCTGTCCGTTTTCATCTAAGCATTCATGAAGGCTTAAATACTGTAAAAAGAACTATACTGCAAATGATGTTACACATACAAGGCTTCCCTCCTAAAAGTTCAAATTTGATCGTAACTCAAACACTGAGTCATCCGTTGGGTCCAGGTGTTCTTTCTATTAATCTCTCAGATGTTATTTACACCATTCCCTTGAGGTCTGGAGAGATCAGAGGTGAAGATAATGTGTTGAAGGAGGAGTTAGTCCACAGAAAAGAAGCTGGCAGCCATTTTGGCTCATCGGTAATTTTAAAAGGCTGAGAATCCAACTTACATCACACATCCCAAAAATGCTGAGTCAGTAGCTGTGTTGAATTTTGCATTTTCTGGTAAGTAGCAGAGAGAGGGAAGATTAGACTTGAAGTCTGGTCACAAACACTGTAGTTGGAGAGCAGTAGCAGTGATGCAGAGTTTGTATGGGATGGCCCTCTAGCAGTATAAGACACACTGGATGGAGTGTGGATCCTTTAAATCTAAAGGTTTCAGAATATTTCTGTTTCACAACTAAGACCAACGACATCAAACTTAAACTGTGGTTGGTGGGATAATGTTAAAAATTTGTTTATATATCACACAGCTCAGTAGGAAAAACAATTCAAAGTGCTTAACATGGAAGAAAATAAAAGAAAAGTACATTGCAATGACATCAAGGTTATTAAACAATTAGTGAAATGATTAGAAAGTTTCTCAGCTTTTCCAGTTTTTGTGGAGTGTATTACAGATTAGTGGAGCATAAAAACTAAAAGCTGCTTATCGAAGTTTGGTTAAGTTTCTGCAGAGTAGATCTGAACCAGTAGACCTTTAGAGGTCTGGCTGTTGATACACTGCTAACACGTCTGTTATGTAATTTGGAGCGAAGTAGGAGTAGCAGGTCAGTGGAACGGTAGTCGAGAATTTAAAATAGAGATAGAATTGGTTTGGAAGAAGAATGTGGAAGTGATGAGTGGGAGCACTTTAGATTTCAGCTAAATGATCATGGTCAAGTCCTTATTCTGGACAAGTCGATATGCTGCATTTATTATACAGCAGTAGCATTTAAAAGCTGATATATTACACACCTACAGCTGCACCTAAAACACAATTAACCCTGCAGTTTTATCCACATGGAGAAAAAAAAACTACAACCAGTGCTGCCAAACAATTTTTTTAATAACCAAACCAAATACAAAAAGGTCACCAAAATTAATTCTGGATTCTTTGATCTGTTTGTGTGGTAGTTTTTTTGTGCTATGAAATCTGGGACAATTTAGCAGCCAGAAAAAATTTATTCCTGTGACAGGCTTAAAATTTCTGGACTGGTGGAGGAAACTGAATTACACACAGAGAACCCACAGAAGCACTGGGATAATCTCTGTTCAGACAGAGCATAGGCAGGGAATGCAACCCAGGTCACTCTTGTTGCAAGGCCTCACTGATATTAACTGCCTTGCTGCACAGCCCCAATACGAGGGTCCACAAGCAGAACACTGGACACGTTTACCAGAGATTACGTCAATCCAACGTGGCAGTTACAAGTTCCAAGAAAATAGAATGCACCGTGTGCGTGGACATCTGGGGAATTTCTTCCATTAGGATACTTTCCTAGTTCTGGATACAGACAGACAGATAATGATAAGATCCCTAAATGATGAAATGTTATTAGTATCAGAAATATTCTATAATGTTAAAGAACCTCTATAAAGGCAGCTCAAAGATTTTATTATAATATCTTGGTAATAATGGAGTAAACCAGTATAGAAATTCATATGTTTTTACAAATTTTAGATGAAAAGGACACAATTTTCAAATTACTACTAATAATATATTTGTAATTAAACCCGAATCATTCTCCCTTTATATTTCATAAATAAAGTCAGAAAGAAAATGAGCTTCAATTGATCTTTTTCTTCCTTTAAACTTCTTTGGTTTTACATCCAAAAGACCTTTTAACCATCTTGAATTTGTTTTTAGATATTTACAGCCAAAAGGTAAATCTTATTCATGTTTCACCAAATAAAACTAGTTGTGTTGGTTTTATTTCCATTTTCATATTTCCTTCTTGGCATTTTGAGTCTTGTCATATAAAATGTGGTCTTTATCACAGATTTTTTTGCAGATCCTCTCACCCACCGCTCCTGCAGCAGTGTACTCATTTGTCATTACAGCAGTTTGGACATTTATGCCTGTTTGTTGAGGCAAAAGCCAATTAACGCACTTTATGCACATTTAGACCTCTTTATATTTCACCAAAGTGTCACACCTTTAGTGTCATCCCATGAAAAAAAGTATACTTAAAAAATATAAGCAGTGTACTGACTAACACTACATAGAAAGGCTTAACTGTGAGAAGAAAGATGTTGGCATAAATTCTCCCAGCCTGTCTTCGGTCAGCTGTCAGAGGTTCTGTCCATTATTCCTTCCTACTGAAGGCACTCTGGGTTATTGAAATTGATTGAACACGTCAGATTCTGCACACACAGGCCTGTACATGGGATTAATCCATACCGATCAGCATTACGGCACCTGAAAACACAAGAGAAGGTGTGATTTAAATTATGTTGATCAGCTAAAGCCCATGATGTTTGGCTCCTTTAAGAAGATACCTGCCTTTTTTCAGCTGTCCACCGGCAGCTTCTTGTTGTCAAACTTCCATCCATCCATTTTGTAGCACACTTATCCCGAGTGGGGTCGCAAGGGGTGCTGGTGCCTATCTCCAGCAGTCAATGGGCAAGAGGCAGGGTACACCCTGGACAGGTTGCCAGTCCATCGCAGGGCAACACAGAGACAAACAAACTTTCACACACACACATAAGGGGACTTTAGAGAAACCAATTAACCTAGAAGTCTGGACTGTAGGAGGAAGCCGGAGTACCCGGAGAGAACCCACACATGCTCAGGGAGAAAATGCAAACTCCATGCAGAAAGACCCCAGGCTGGGAATCGCACCCAGAACCTTCTTGCTGCAAGGCAAGGCAGCAGTGCTACCCACTGCACCACTGAGCAGCCCTGTTGTCAAACTGTTCCTTGGTTTTATCATTTCCGTTCCTTATTGTTAGTCTTTTGGACCACAGGAATCATGGCTTTACCTAAAAAAAAAAACAATAAAACTGTAAGCCCCTTAGAGTAGATCCCCATAAACTGATTTCTTACCTCAGTTTACCCTGAATCAGTACTGGACATGATAAAAGACATTAGCAAATCTATAAATTTTAACAAATAGTTAATGTTATGTAAAATGTTGCATATTATTATTTTCTTTAAATTAAATTTGTCATAACTCTTGTATAAAAGTTGACCAGTACATGGTAAAAGGAAATACAGTAATTCATCATTAGGATTCTAAAAATGAGTTGATGCTGTTGGTTAATTTATACATTTCATCTGAGACTCAAACTGATTCCACATTTAAAGATTCAGAATTTTTTTTTTATTCTAATAACTTATAAAGTGACAGGGATACGTATGGTCAGGGGTTTGTTTGTTAGACAGCAGAGATGAGGGCAGTGGTGCTTCCAGAAATGTTTCCTAGGGGTGGCCAGATGGAGCCACTGAAAATTTTGGGGTGGCACACTTAAACTAAAAACCACAATTTCAGGGTTTGAATCTACTATAGTAGTAAACCTGCCTATAGAAATCATAAAGACTTAAAAACCTACTCATATCTTGGTTTATTGCTAAACTGATGGTAATAGAATTTACCCTGGCGAGTGGGATGGCCAGTGGGTTGGCAAGGGCATTGCACAGGGTGGCCATGGCCACCCCCTGGTGGTGCCACTGGATGGAGGTCTACGACTCCAATTGTCCCTTATGTCAAACTTTTCCCTTATGCGGCTTGTGGTCCCTAAGCGCTGCATCCATGTTTTATTGTTTATCTGTCTTTGAGGGCTTAAATAGTGATTTTAATTTTCAGAAAAAATGACCTGCATAATGTCCTACAATAATTTAATAACCAATTCCTTGAAGCAGTGGATAAACTTGGCCTGTAGAAAAGTAAACACCAGGAGCGTGCATCAGACTGATGCCCACAGACCCAGTGATTTTACAGAAAGTGATTTCATCAAATAATGGATGATTTGCTCGGAGAAAGAAACAGCACATGCTATCTGAAAATAGCATGTGCTGCTTCTTTAACTCAATAGATGGCTGAAATCAAGGATTTCATTTTACCTGCAGCCATCTGGTGTTTCAAAATGGTAACTTTTCAGAGACAAAGCCTGTTTCTTGTGGAATTCCTCAGAGTAGAAGTTTCAGTCCCTTAATTTTAAAATCTAGATTATGTCACATATGTTGATGATTTTACAGTTAAGAATATATTATAAATTGGGAATGGCAGAATGTACCTGAGTGGGTAACCATCAACAAAAGCATTTTAAATGTTACCAAAACGAAACTTGCTATAAAGTAGAATAGTTATTAACTGAACAAACATAAACTAGAACCAAAGTTGCACCAATAGAACAGTCAAAGCTGAATTAATAGCCAATCTACAGGACAATCAAAAAGTATGGGGGAAAACACATTGATAATCTGTAATTAAATAAATGCTAGATTTACTCAAGGAAACAGGTTAATCTTTTAAAAAGTTGGCCAGGCAAAATTTACCAGGAACAGCGGCGGGTAATATGGAGATACCTGCATTACAAATAACTAAGATTTTAAATTATCTTCAACAAAAACAACCATCGAACATTTGTTTTTCCTACAACTCAGCATGTTGATAATTTATGTTTTGAAAATACAGGCTATCATATTTTAATTGCATTAATTTGTGAATCTTATGGATGCATTTTATCGTTTATTTATATATTTTATTTCTATAAAGAATATATATGACTACATTTACAGGAAGAAGAGAATAATTAATTCATTACCTCGTTGTGGTTTGTCTTTGTTTATACGGGAAGTGTGGACCCCTGTACAAGAGTGCCTACATGGGACTTCAGCTAATGGGGATCCAAAAGAAACAAAACAAACCATCAATGCAGAGTTTGTGTCTTAAAGTTTATTTACCTTATCCGATATTCGCTGTGAAAGATCTTTGCTCAAAAAATCCCGAACAGCCAGAGCAAATAGATTTGATTCCTTACATGGTGTTGATCAATGTAATGATCCTGAGCAGAAGCAGGATAAAGATGGAGCTAAGCATTTGTTTGGGAAACATCCAAGCCACAAATCTGACAGAGATAAATGGATAGTTGTCAGGTTCCTTTGGAAAATGATTAGAGAGCCGCTCAGGCGCAGATCTTAGCTCTCCCTCCCAGTCTCTCCCATCATTATCCCAGCACAAATCCACTCAGTAACAGAGGTTCTCTTGTTTGTGAAGGCACGGAGCCGGCTTTGAGAGCTCTCATAAATAAGTCTGGTCCTCCACACACATAGAACATTGTTTGAAGGAAGATGAATCTTAGGGGAAAGAATTGTTGTTGTCTGTTTTTAAGCATCTCCACCAAAGACTTTCTATGAAAAACTTTGTGAGTGGACGTTTATTTTCTCTGCTGCATTATTCATCCTTCAACTGTCTGAATGAACTTGTTCTGAGTCTAAATGACGACGTCCTGCCAGGACCTAACATCTCCTCAAAGTCAGGACACAGTTGGAAGCTTGCTCTGATGGAGATTGATGGAGGAGCCCCTCATCAGGCGGTGATGCAGGGACGTCTGATCCCAGTGAACCAACATGTTTTTACTGGAAAGGATGTTGATGCATTAGGCATCTTCTTTCACGGCCTATGGTCTCTGCTTTCTGTTCAAGTCACTGTATGAAACAATAAGATTCCTTCAGAGCTTTAGGGCATTTTGTGTCTTATGCATTTATAATATAATCAATGCTCACCCCAGTAGGGGTGGAAAATATGTTATCAAATCAAAAAGTATTTGTCTTATACCCCTTTTCCACTGACCAAAAACCATGTTTAAACCTGGCAATGAGAACGACTCACTAACCCGGGTCAAACTGCAAGCAACCCGGGTTAAAATCGCCTTCAAACAGCTCCGCTCTGTTTGGTATACAGTTGGAGCAGCAGACCCGGCTTGGCCCACTAAATTACACAACGTATGTACGTCACAACATTGTTTCAGTCACATCTCATATAACAAGCCAAAGCAACTCCGCTTGCATTCGATAAACATGGTGCACCATTGGTAAGAGGGATTCGGACGGACAAAAGAGACAAACCATGTTGCTCTACATTGTTTACTTTTCTGATTTCTGTTGCACTGACAACATCATCAATGCTAACCCAGCGTGATGCCATCACCAGATGCTCAGCGGTGGGGGACAGAGGCCATGCAGCTTGCCAGTGGGGGATCAGACTCAGCAGACCTCAGCTTTTTGCCAATGGGAAGGGAGCCAAATGCCGATTGTTAGCGGGTCAGCCCGGGTGTGAAAAACTCACATTAACTCACTAATTTAAGTGGGAAAGCAGCAGTATATTGCTCTGTGAACACATGCCCTTCTAGCTGTGTTAGATCAACAAATGAAAGTGTGAATCAAGCTCAAATCATGGTATTACATTCTATGGGACTTCTACATACTCTCTATATCTCAAACCCTTTTGAACCCTACCAGAACACAGGGTCTTAATCATGCTTTCTTTGGGTTGAGTTTGCCAAGATGACAAGATAATTAGACCAAAAACGCAGTACCTAATTCATCTAGTCATCGCTAATCACTCTTGGCTTAATGTCTCAGATGAATAACAAGCAGCTCACTGACTGTAAAGGCTTTGCTTGTCCTTCAGAGAGTGGGACTGTAGAGGAATGTGGGCAGAAGCTGAAGACCATCCTTCAGTCTCCAAGTGTCCCTCCGGCCAGCCACCATCTCCTGATCCACCTCAGCCAGCATCTAAACTGGGTCAGCCAGCAACACAGGACAAGCCCCCGTCTGCTGGGACAGGCCTTCGCCAACATCATCTTCAAGCACAATCTGAGGTACGATAAAGATCTTCCAAAAAAGTATTATAAATATTCTTTTCCTTATGGGTTTATTATGAAGATGAGGAAGATCTTAGATGGATGGAACCAGTTTCCCATCCGTTTATCCAAGATAAGGTTTTGTGAGAACTGCTCCTCATTAGCTACGTTATCATCAGAAAGAATCTCTGAGGGATCAGAGTATTTGTTTGGACCATTTTAACCATTGTTGGATCGGACATTCTAGAAGAGCTGGCCTGCTTTACCTGCTCTAAAACCAGTTTAGGAATGTCTGAGATCACGGTCTAGCAGTTTTGTTAAAGTTTATAAGATTACCTTTAACTGATATTAGGCACATGCACAATTAAAATCAATTTAGTTAAGTTATATTTTATTTTTCTCATTTGGAACAATTTCTATTTGAATCACAGTTAAGAATAACTGTTATAAAAAAAATTTTAATGGATTTTCTTTGTCTTTTTATCTTTAATGGATAACTTCTCATCTTTAGGACAGTGATGTTTGTTGGGATAGTCAGTTTTCCATCTACAACATTAATAATCTATTTCACAAACGGAGCTGTGTCAAAATAGAAGCATAGATACAAGCAGAGTTGAGGTTAAACAAGAAGCGTCAAGGAACTCCACTGTGGTCACAGTTAGAGAAGAATGATGTCAAACTGGGGTTTTAAGGAGGTCTATAATGAGTTCTGTAATAATGAATAATGTGGAATTTTCTTTTAAACCCAATAATAAGCATGATGGCAGGATAATTGGACCAAAATGGGAGCTTTGAGGAATCCCTGAATTTAACAAGCCTTAGATAAAATTAGCTTATTAGGGAGCCTTGAAAAAATAAACTTCTCAGCTTGGTTTATATGTTATGAATTATGAACCCTAATGTGAAGTTTTATTGCCTTGTTAGGTATGTTCTGTGGTTCCGTTTTAGCCTTACAAAAACAATCCCTGCAGTTTAGTTGATCATTATCAGATTGTTATTGCTATGCTCACTAAATATTCCAACTGAAGGTAAAGGTATTGGTATCCAAAAGCTTCTCATCTCATTTCTGATGTCTTGCTTCCAGTGCTATTGGAAATCTGGAGCATCACATCAGGATCTTAGAAGCTCTCATTGGGTCTGGAGGTGTTGAGAAGCAGTCTGCTCCAGGTAGGACAGAAAATCATTTCTCTTCCTTTAGAGCTGCAGCAAAAAAAAAAAAAAAAAAAAAAAAAAAAACATACAAACCTGCTTCCTGAGATTTTGACTAAACACAAACTTTTACCTGATTTGTGGGTTAGATTTGACCTGCTTATTGCTCATGACTATCTTCATTGCTTCATCAGTGTAAAATGTTTAAATGAAGGTTGGACAGTGATTGTTGACTAATATATTAAGATTGTCCGTTCTCCGTGCTGATGTAATGTTCAGCCAATTGGACAGTCTGACAGCAGCTTTTGCTAACAACAGACAGATCAGTTTACTCAGAATCCCTGAGGTCACAGAGCAGGGGAGGCACAGATGGGTAAGGAGAAACTATGCATATTTCATAACTATTATTGACTGACCACCAGAGGATTTTTTTATCTCTGTATCTGCTCCTTCTATGCTGCTTTTTAACATGAGGTAAAATCATTTAAAAGCCTGGTTTGTCCTTTTTTGACTATATACATTAATAAGGATTGAAGTTTTTCTCAGACAAACAAGTAAGAAGAAGAAAAATGCATATTTATTTGAATATATTATTATTAATGACGTATGTAATAACACATATAATTTAGTGTTTATAACTTATTTAATCATACCCCCCCACCTTCATATTGTTGATGTGCAACTCACATCAGCCAATCACGTGACATCGTGATTCCCCTTTCTTGCATGGCAAATATATAGAAAACAACCAGCCACTATTGCATTTTTTCTCCATATTACCTTGAAAACATAAACATGATCATCTCATGCTCAGCATATGGGTATATAGTCTCATTTTATCACTTCTCTAAAGACGCGGAAAGGTGAGTGAGACGGTTGGTTACTGTGAAGAGACAGAGCTGGAAACCAACCATAACCAGCAGAGTTTAGTAATCACTTCTTCCATGGTTAATTGTTATGATGAAATTATTGTTGAACAGATTTATTTATTTTTTTTCATTCAGACAGATGTGTAAATTTCCTCTCACGCTAGTTAGAAATAAGCAGGGCGTTAAATGTTTTAACAAGCATGAGGGGTTTCCCACAGCGTACTGTAAGCCTAGAGGGGGGGGGGCAAGCTTTACTCCACAGCCCCCCCCCCCCCACCCCCAGAAGAGCGGCCTGTAGAACAGGAAAGATGGAGGAGGGCAACAACACAACAGCAGGACTGCTACCTCCGAGGAGAAACAGGAGGAGCATTGCCAGAGCCCTGCAAAATGACCTGAAATGTGCATGTGTCTGCACAAACGGTTAGACACCGACTCCATGAGGATTGTATGAGGGCCTGACATCAACAGATGGGAGTTGTACTTACAGCCCAACACCGTGTACAATGTTGGCATTTGCCAGAAAAAAACAGGATTGGAAAATTCACCACTGCTGCCCTGCACTATTCACGTATGAAAGCAGGTTCAAACTGAGAGTATGTGACAGTCTGTAGACACTGTGTTGCGCAATCTGCTGCCTGCTACATCCTTTACTATGACCGGTTCGGCAGTGGGTCAGCAATGGTGTTGGCCCTGGGTTCCTGGTTCCTTCTAATGCAGGACAATACTAGACCTCATGTGGTTGGAGTGTGTTAGCAGTTTCTGCAAGATGAAGGCATTGAAGCTATGGACTGGCCCGTCTGTTTACCAGACCTAAGTCACATTGAGCACATCTGGGAAATCATGTCTTGATCCATTCACACAAGTCACATTACACAGCAGACTGTCAAGAAGTTGGTGGAGGCTTTCCACGTCTGGGAGGAGAAGACCAAGCATTGTAGGGAGGTTATAAAGGCATTTGGAGGCCACATACTATACTAAACTTCCTTTTTAGCTGTTTAAATGACATTACATCAACATTGGATCAGTCTCTGGTGTGTGTGTGACTTTAATTTTGTATACTTTAATTTTGCACACAAATTGTATATGATTCAAAATTTCATTTTGTACAGCTTTCAGACAGTAAATGAGCAGCAGCTTATCAGTGAAAGGAACATTTCCAATCCATAAACTGCATTAGTGATCAAATGTAAACAGTGTGGGAGAAAAACATGGTGCAAAAAAGCATTTTTATGGAAGTTAGGAAGATTTCAAGACAAATATATATGGTTCAGAAAAGCAGTTCTTTGGTTTGATGTTATCAATGTGATGCAGAATCTGTGACTCGATTTAGAGTTTTTTCACCAGTTCAGCTGTCTGATGGCAGTGGGCAAAAAGCTGTTGCAAAATCTGTTGGACCTGCATCGGATGCTGCGAAGCCTCTTCCCAGAGTGCAGCAGGGAGAACAGACCATGGTAGGGGTGTGAGGGGTCACTGATGATGTTACGGGCTCGGGACACGCAGCACTGGGATGAGTTATCTTTAATGGAGGGAAGAGGAGCCCTGATGATCTTCTCTGCTGTTCTCACCACTCTCCTCACCTTCTTCCAGTCTGAGGCGCTGAAGCCTCCACACCACATAGTGAGACAGCTGGTCAGAACACTCTCTATGGTGCTTCTGTAAAAGTTGGTGTGGATGGGTGGGGCAGGTGGGCTCTCCTCATCCTCAACAGGACGTACATGTGCTTTTGTGTCCTTTTGAACAGTGAGGCGGTGTTTACATTCCAGGTGAGGGTGTCTGTGATGTGCACCCTCAATAATTTGGTGCTGCTGACCACCTCTACAGCTGAGCTTTTGATGAGCAGCGGAGCATGGATATCCTTCGTATTCTCCACATTCAGGAACAGGCTGTTATCTCTGCACCAGTCCAGCTGCTCCACCTCCTCTCTATAGTCCTGGATGTCGTCGTCTCTGATGAGGCCCACCACTGTGGTGTTGTCTGCTATCTTAACGATGTGACTAGTGGTGAACCTCACAGTCGTGTGTCATCACAGTAAACAGCAGGGGTCTCAGAATGCAGCCCTGAGGGGTGCCTGTGCTAAGGGTGATGACATCAGAGGTGTTCTGTGTGACCCGGACTGACTGAGGTGTGTTTGTCTGTTCCTGTTTGGCTGTGACATCATCCTGGAAAGAAACATCAGCTGTGCTGCTTCCATCAACACCCTTGTTTATAGACGCTGGAGATCAGCCTGTTTTCCAGTGTGGTCCTGTTTCTCTGACCGTGACTGAGTGGATGTGCTCTCTTCGTCCTCTGGCATGGGAGCTGGCTCGGAGCTCGTCTGCCTGGAGGTGTGTTTCCTGGACGGGGCCGCCTTTTACAGCTGCTTTTTGTATCTCTGCTTCTGTCTCCTTGAACCCCAGTCGGCCTCGGCAGATGGCCGCTCATACTGAGCCTGGTTCTGCTGGAGGTTTCTTCCTGTTAAAAAGGAGTTTTTCCTCTCCACTGTCGCTACAAGCATGCTTAGTGTGAGGGATTGTATTTGAGTCAATGAGTCGATGCAATCAACTGGTTTTCCTTAGATAGAAAACTTTGTATCAATTTGACTGCATGATCTGGTTGAACTGTAAAGTGCCTTGAGATGACATGTGTTGTGAATTTGGCGCTATATAAATAAACTGAATTGAATTGAATTGAATTTGTGAGGAAGGAAGTCTAGCAACCAACTGGAGCGCTGTGTATTGAATCCCTGCTGTTTCAGTTTTCCTATCGGATGCTCTGGGATGATGGTGTTGAAAGTTGAGGTGAAGTCCAAGAACAGCATCTGCACGTGGGTGTTCTTCTCCTTCAGGTGTGCCAGGCTCTGGTCAAAAGCAGAGGAGATGGCGTCCTCAACAGTGTCTTCATTTCATCATGATAGGAGTCATCATGCAATAGGTCGGTAGTCATTGGCACTAGTATTTGTAGTTGGGAGTGAGATTGTAGTTCAGCTGACTTGGCTTTTTGATACTTGTCCTCTGTTTGCTGGGACATTTCCTCTGTTTGCTGGGACGTGTCCTTTGTCTGCAGGAATGGGTCATCCATCTGTTGAAATGTGTCCTTTGCCTCCTGGGACATGTCCTATGTCTGCTGTTCCTAGTTTAGGATTCTTCAGCTCCATCATTCATGTTCTTGGAATGGACCATAGGATGTCCAAATGGACCAACTGATGCAGAACTGTCCATGCCCCCTTTTTTGGTTCTTAAGTGTTCAGAACCCAACAGTGAGGTCTCTGCAGCTGGGTGTGGTTTTGTTGAGGACTTACAGATGTATAGAGTTTAAATTATTAAACCATTTGGTCTCTGGAATCTAAAACTTTGGACCTGAATCTGAGAAACAGATTTAAAATTGACACCAGAACTTCTCCACTGAAGGACAGTAAAGGTCATTTTGTTTCTGACTTCCAACATTGATGCTTCTCTGTAATGTTTGTTTTTAAAGATCCATGATCAGCTTATTCTTGTAGTTCTGCCATTGTGACATTTACCCAGAAAATTTTAACTTTAAAGCTATTTGTTATCGTCTTTAATCTTCCTGCTTTGTGTTCTGACAGTGAAGCTCTCAGCAGACTTACATCAGAGCAGAACCAGAGGATCTGCTCTGTGCTTTTGAAGTTTATTTTGTAATGTCTCTTACACAACCTTCAGATGAAAATGTCACAACCTGCGATTCTCCTGGGGGAAGCGACACCGACGGACTCAGCTTAGCATTTTTAATGCTCTGTTTGGATGTCACTGCAGAGTTGGAGTTCAGAATATCCAGATGAGCTGCGTTCAGAGATTATTTGCTCTAAAAGCTGCTGCTAAATATCAGAGGACTATGAGTCCCTCAATCAGAAATGAGTTCTGGGGATTTACAGAAAATGTTGATACAGTTTTCTAATCAAACAATGTAAAAGGAAGGAGCATTAGAAATACATAACTGAACAACCTCAGCTTTGCTTTTGTCCTTTGGTGCCCTTTGTCCACTGCTTGGGTTCCAGAACATTCCAGGATCTATTCTTCTTCCTCTGCTGGTTTCCCTCTAACTCGCAGACATAAAACTTTGCAAAGTTCTGCAGGTGAAGAAGACGGCGCTCATGTTTACAGCTTTAGGAGAAAATGCATGCTGGGATATGCAGACCAATTTGAATTAGAT